TTTTATTATTTTTATTATTTTTATTATTTTTGTTTTTATTTTTATTTTTGTCTGATGTGATACGTCTATGAATTCTGTATGAACTTATGTCCTTTAGGGCATACAAGTGTATGAAGATACACTTCTGAGCTTTATGCTGCTATTGCACCTCGAAGTTATTTACAATTAATATTTGTTGTATGTCCTTCTTGCTTAGTTCTCATATAGGTAAACTAGCTTTCATTTTCCAGCAAGTCTCTTAATTCACTGATCATGACAGTGCTAATTTGTCTGTGTCCTTTATCTAAGTGCTTTGGCCTAAGAAGTCTGTTCAACTTTTCTCCTTGGAATTATTTATAAATTATTCCCATTTTCTTTAAATTCCAAAGTTACATTTCATCTGTAATTTTTTTCAGTACTCAGTCATCTGGTACAAAACTAAGCATCTCAGTGTCTTGTTGTTTATCCCTTTACCTGTACAGATTTTTGGGCACTAGAAGTTTATCAGTACTGTTCCCACCTACAACATATTGAGAGGGAGATTCTATATAATCCTGATTACAGTTCCATTTATATAAAATAATGAATGAGAATATAAACAAAGTGCTGTGGAGTAGTGCTGATTCACAATGTTGATTAAACATTATAGGAGGTATTCAGTTTAAGACAACTACATTTAGTGTTTACATGTGTAGGGAGACACTGAGTGTGTAAATTCACATATTATTCAATAGATATTTAATTTGTATACCCCAAGAGGTATGGGTTTCTTATGCTCCAAGGTATTGTGTCTTGCTCATGCTGTTGCTTCTTCAAAACGGTGAATACCTCCCAGGTATTTTGTGCCACTATTTTCTAATACTGAGTGAGTGTCTAGGGAATCTCAGGAGGCAGGAGCTGCCTGTGTTTAGATAACTGTGTTCAAAACTGAGTGTCAAATTGAGGATTATCTATAATGCTTTTCAGACCATTTGTGTGTCTTCTGAAAAGTTTGTGAGAGAAGACCAAGTTCAAATAAAAAGAATTCTTTTTGGTGGGAAATTTAGTGCTTTCGTGTCATCTGAAAGTGAACGTTCAGTCTTGAGCTCATCTGTGCCAGTTAAAAAGGGAATTTTTACTTCTGTCCTTTTTACATAAAATGTCAGCTATGACACAGATGTTCTTGAAGTGTATGCGTGTATGTCACACATATAATCCCCTTGAGGGCTTTGAGGTTAGAGGAAGAGGACTTGAGCCAACTTGAGTGCAGAAAAAAAGGCAGGCATTAGTATATAGATTGATGATCCCTACTGCAAAAGCAGTAGTGTTGCAAAGACATGCTCAGTTTTTATGAAAGCCAGTTTCGTAAGTTATAGAAGGTGTTTTTAACTTGTCCCAACAATTGCTATGTGACTTATTGTGAATTTCTTTTTGAATCTTCTTTGTTCTGGCTTTCCATTAAAATAACCACTGACAATGTATTTAATTTGCTTTGGAATCACATTACAAGATCTAGCTCTGAGCAGTTTTGTAAGCTGAAAACTCTTCTGTCATCCTCCATTCTTCCTGTGAATTTTGAAATTCAATTTATCCAGGAAATTGTCCTCCTCTACTTCTTCCTGCATTCAGTTAGAGGGAGAAGAACAGGAAACAGTGTTTCAGAGATTTAAAATGTGCAATAAAGTTTTACTTATATAGAGTTAGGTTCTGCAAGAAGTCATACAAACTTTTTCCTTTTTTTGGAGAAGAAATAAAAGGATAAACTTTTAAAAGCATTTTTTTGGCTTGGTAAATTGTTTCAGCTATGGGGCAGCCGATAAGCAATCTAGGAATGCTACATCATTTATAGTTCAAGCTGATTTTGCTAGAACTACCTTGAGCATTAAAAGTGAAATGCTTGATAAGGATCCATGTATTACAGAGACCTAGAATTCTGTTTACTTCTATACTAAATATTACCAGCTGACTTGTTGGACATCCACTCAAATGTCTTCTGGAAAAAGGGCACAGCAAGTACTCTCTCGTCTATAACCCAGCAAATAATTTTAGCTCTGTTTATTATTCCCGGGAGGCTTTGACTGAGTTAAAGAAGAAATCAGACAGACATTGCCTTCGCCGTACGGAGAATGTTCTATTAGCTCCTTTTTACTAGTGTGGAAATCCCACTGTTAAATTTTTTGCTAAGTGTTTAAGACTAAAACTCATTTAGAAATAGGATTATTAGTTCTTTCTGTTCAAATCAAGATCAAATTCTAGATATTTGAAATTAGATAGTTCATTTTATGTGATTATTACATTTAATTTGAGCCGCCTGTTGAGAAGTCTGAGCTGAAGAGACTCAGAATTTTATAGGACAATTTCTCTTATTGTTTTGTATGTTTTCTCAAAAATACTCTTTCTAGCTCATTTTATCCATTAGAATGACATGTTTTTAATGAAGCTAGGTAAAATTCCTGTCTTCAGTTACTTGCCTCTGTTAAAGGATTCTTCTAAAGCACTCATTAATTTTCCATAAAAACTGGCTATCTTTGCTGTACTCGTTGAAACCAGTCTACCAGAACACCCCAGGCATATATTCTGTAAAGGTTCTCTTGTTCTGCCAATGTTGATTTCTAGTAAAGCATTCCTAAAATTCTCTTTTCAACTTATGAATTATTTAATATTTCTTTTCACAGTCCCAGTCATTCAAATTATTTTTTACTTGCATAGCCTGTTACATACCTTCCAATTTATAGCTAAGTGCTTAGTATTGGGAATGGAATTTTTATTATTTTTTATTATTTAGAGATATCATAAAACTAGCTGCATAATGTATTAGAACATGCCTTATTTGTTAAAGCTTATTCCTATAACTGGCAATAAGCGTTTATAAGTCCTTGGATTTTTCAACTATTTTTCTTGAGAGAGAGAGAAAGAAAAAAGCTGTCTGTGTATGTATGTTAGGTGGGGTTTTCTTTCCAGTGGAGAATAAAACAATTTGTTACACTGTCATGTAACAACTCTAAACTAATGGATTTTAGAATAAAGTCTGGAAGCTGCAGGCTTCAGATGTAGAGCTGAAATCTAAATCTCAAATATATGATTGTGATAGCAGTTACTAAAATTTATGACCTAAAATGACAGGGTTGTGACAACAGTTCTCTGGTAATGAGGAGGATTGTCTTTTTTTCTTGAATACGTGTTTGGAAATTTGTAAATATAACTCAGGAAAAATTACAAGTCTTGGTTTCTTTTCCTTAGGGATATCAGGAACTCCAGGTATCCCAGGAACTCCAGGGGTTCAAGTAAGTTTCTGACTCATTTCTAGAATTTGAAAATCTAAAATAATCCCTTCAACTTTCTCCCAACACCTGTTGTTTGTCTTTGAGAGTTGAGATGCGTGAAATGAGAAGTGCTCAAGGGATGCCATCAAGTCAGGGTTTGTCCTTGGCTGAATTGCTTTGGAACTCACATGGCTTCGGGATCTACAGATAGGCTGAGAATTAGACTGCAAATTAATCATTACTAGGTAAGGCTTGTTAGGAGAAGGACTCATCTGGGGCTTAGCTGTTTTCAAACTGATCCAGAAGCCAAACAGTAGTGCCTTCCATTTTGCTATGAATCAGTAACAGTGATCTGAAGCCTTGTTATGATGATTCATTACCCACCATTTACATGTCCAAAAAGTTTCAGATAAAGACCAGACTGATGAAGAACTCATTTTCTTCATCATATTAATTTAATAGTCCTTACTGGGTCAGCTACTGGAAACCAGTGCTGTATTTTACTTGTGGCATGATCCACTCTGGCTGGGTAGTCTAGAACTTACTAATTTGTTGAATTAAATGTGTGAGATCATGCAGGGACCAAGAGCAAGCCTTCAGCATGGCATATGTGAAGGCTATCCCATGGACGTTGAAAGGAAGGGGACATGTCTGGACTCGTACAGGCTGTGTGATGTACTTTTTTTCTTGGGGTGGTTCTTGGTTAGAGCGAAGAATTGTTCTTGGTGTTCCCCAGTCACGGGCGCAATAGTTCACAATATTTGTGCATTCTGGATGCATTTCATGCTTGATTCTGCTGTTATATCCAATTACCAAAATGTTGTAATCAGCCAGCTGACACCTGAGTCCCTGGGTCATGTTGTATTACATTTCTGTGTCTCATTCTGCATCAGAGTATGTTAGTATTGGAGCTGATTTTAATTTTTTTTTTCTCTTAGGGACCACGTGGTTTACCAGGTATCAAGGGAGAGCCAGGGAAAGATGGAACTAAGGTAAAAAACAAAAAAAAGGGAAAAAAATAGTAGATAAAAAGATTTTACTCTTACCATTTATCATTTTTGGTTATGCAGTGAATAGTTAACAGTAATAATATTTTCACATGAGGCTTCTGTGAGAATTGTTTACTAAAAAGGGGATAAAGGAGGACTAAGAATCCTAAATTTAGAATGTTCCTTCAGTTTGGAATCTGCTTTATATAATAAAGTTCACAGAGCCTTCAGCACTGCCGGTAACACCTCTACTGCACTGAATAATTTATATTTATATTGCATATCTAAATATGGGTACCTGGAAGCATGATACAGGTATCTGTCAGAATATTTTCTTTCCACCTCTTTTCACCCTTTTTCTCTTTAAGTGAGCATCCAGATGAGCTAGGTAGGTATTTTTAGATGGCACGTTTTATCAGAAAACACTGACTAATGAAGACCAAAGCTGTTTGTGGAAAACTCTTACCTGAGGTGTAGCTAGTAGCTTGGAGCTGCAGATAGATGTGGAAGCTTCTGTATAACTCCCTTCTGGTAACTGGGATAAGCTTGAATCTGAATCTGTATACACAGCAAGTAAACTTACCATTGACTACTGGCAAGTCTCATTGATATGTAAATATCTGTCCACCCTTCTCTCACACTTTTGCCCTATGATTAGAAAAGCTCTAAGTTCATTGTGATAAAAAGGTGTTTTGGTTTACTAAAACTTCAAAGCCTTTTTTGTAAAGCAAACATTTGTTTTCCAACAGATTGTACTGCAGAATTTCCTTCTTCTAAACTTCCCAATTTTAAAAGCAGGTCCTTAAATTCATCACTGTTCAGCGTAATTCTCAAACACATGATTAGAGCTGAAAAATGTGCTTGTGTGATCCTGTGACTGGTCTTAGACGTTAATCTAATTATCGGTCTGTATTGGACCATGTGCAGAGAGTAAGATACTGATGATGAAAAAGTATTCTTCTGGCAGTGCAGGGTTGTGACAGATAGAATATTTCCTAATGCTTAGTCCAAACTTAATTAAAATGTGCCAAGAAATAGGGCTTCCACCACTGTTTTAGAAAACTTCTTCCATCGTAAAATAGGTCTTGCCATTAGAATTTTTTTCCTGATGATTCAGCCCAAATTTTCATCTCTTAATTTCATCCCATTACTTGCAAAGTTTCTGTAGCAACTAATTTAAAACTATTTCCATTGCCAAATGTTTTAGTTTATCCAATAATTGAATCACCACTTCTGAGCAGGTCGAAGCTCCATTCTTTTTCATTAAGAAGGAATGGATACATGAAGTGTTTATTTTATAAGATTTGTCGATTTTTTTGAACTCCATTCCACTGCATGTTTTTAATATTGTTGAGAGATATTTTGATAGCATTAACCCACAAGCTCTCATTTCTTGGTTGTATTCCTGTCTTCTCTGAATACGACAGACCTCTCCAAATCTGCTTAGACATGAATGGTTTTGATAACTCTTTTCAATTTTTTTTTCTCTTGTCAAAGCTAAATTGCTACTTTTGAACCTCCATAAGCCTTATTAAGAGATTACAGCAAAATGTAATAAAAAAATTTACTGATTTTTTAATTTTTTCTTTTATGTGTTGAATCTTTTTTAAAGATCAACAAACTCTCATCAGTCAGCATACCAATGTTATATAGTTGATATGGTGATATATACTGTCTTTCCACTATTTCTTCTTTATTGAGAATGTTGTTTTAGTATATTACTACTGTTTTAGATATAAGGATTTACAATGTGTTTGCTCTTTTAGGGTGATCGTGGACTACCTGGCTTTCCTGGATTACACGGGATGCCAGCACCAAAGGTTGAAATTAAGTATTTCTTGTTACACTGTTCATGTTTCAGCTTCCTGTATCATTTATTGTAAAGAAAAAAAAATGTTTATATGCAATAATGTGTCAATACATTTCGTAAGCTACCTAAAATTAATAGATATGATGCTGAAATTGAAGGAAGATACATGCCATGGGACTTCATTAAATACTTACGAAGCGATGGAAACTGCCTGGTTTTTTTTTTCCTCTTTGTTCTGTTCTGTGGGAATCTATATTAGTTACTTTGAATTTTGATTTTACTTCTATTTAGATATTTCTTCACCACAAATAATGTGTTAAAAATAATTTATATAGTTTTCTCTAAGTCATTCAATTCAATGACAGCATTTTGAAGGATAGTTCTTTAACCTAGTGACTTTATTTAATGTGTATGTTCCTCAAACATCACCTGTGCATTTAGCTCTTCTGTGTCAGTACTGAACTGGATTTATTTCTTAGTTTTTACAAATTTATGCTTTAAACTTTTCAGTGAAGAGTGCAGCACTTCTCAGCTGAATTTTCAGTTAGGTACTTACCGATATTGAAGTGACCAGAAACAAAAAGTGCCCTCCATTGAGAACAGAAGCCTGCAAATTGTGGATTGTCTCACCAGCAGTGTTGGACATTCCAGGCTTCTCCCCTAGGAGAGCTTGGAAAAGTCAAGATTTACATTTACTGTCCTGAGCATAATTTTTCGTATCAGATGAAGCTCTTTGCCTGCTTCATTTTATGTCTGCTATACATGTATACTTTGTATACATATCTGTATATAACTATGTCTATCATTAAAATTAACTTATTCCCACACATTTTGTCTAGGGAGAAAGGGGTCCTAAAGGAGATCAAGGAGTGCCAGGAATATATGGAAAAAAGGCAAGTAAATTTGTAATAATGAAATAAAGCAAAATGTTGTTGGTATCTGATGGAGTGACCTTGGCAGCCTGCCCAATGCTCCCTCAGCCACTCCTTCATTCCCCATCATTTGCATGAACCACATAGCTGAACGGGAGAGAAGGAGAGGAGTAAGGGGAGCAACAAGAGGAGCGCACGAATGGAGTGAGACTGATAATAGAATCATAGACTTGTCAGGGTTGGAAGGGACCTTAAAGATCATCTAGTTCCAACCCCCCTGCCATGGACAGGGACATCCCCGACTAGATCAGGCTGCCCAGAGCCCCATCCAGCCTGGCCTTAAAAACTTCCAGGGATGGGACTTCCACCACCTTGCTGGGCAACCTGTGCCAGTGTCTCACCACCCTCATGGGGAAGAACTTCTTCCTAACGTCCAAACTGAACCCATCCATCTCTAGCTTTAATCCATTCCCCCTAGTCCTGTCACTACCCGACATCCTACAAAGCCCCTCACCAGCTTTCTTGTAGCCCCCTTGAGATACTGGAAGGCCACAATATGGTCTCCTCAGAGCCTTCTTTTCTGCAGACTGAAAAATCCCAGCTCTCTCAGTCCGTCTCCACAGGAAAGGTGCTCCAGCCCTCTCATCATCCTCGTGGCCCTTCTCTGGACACGTTCCAGCACGTCCGTATCTTTCGTGTGCTGTGGGCTCCAGAACTGGACGCAGTACAACGGGTGGGGTCTCACAAGAGTGGAGTAGAGGGGGAGAATCACCTCCCTTGACCTGCTGGTCACACACCTCTTGATGCAGCCCAGGATATGATTGGCTCTCTGATAGCGGCCTGGAGAGAGATGCTGGTTTAATCTATAATTTATATAAAGGAAGGTGTGCTTTTATTATATTATTATATTTCAGAGAGCAAATTTTGTCATCTAGTGTTACATTTTCACCTGTCTTTGTATTTACTTCATGTATTTATTGGTCTAGAGTTTTAAGCAATTTCAAAGAGAGTCTGTGTTTAAATTTCTGTGTTTTAGAGCATATTTCCATTTCCGTAACAGAGGATAGTTAGAAAGAAACAGAATTTCCATACATTTTCAAGATAAGAAATAATGTACATGAATTATAAGTTAATTATACTGAATTTGTAGCATAAACATTGATCACTACTTACTTTTCATTTGCTCTATTTCTCAGGGTTCAAAAGGAGAGAAAGGTGATACAGGATTTCCAGGAATGCCCGGACGATCTGTAAGTTCTGTGAAGACAATTTGCATTTAGTGTTTGCTTGTTAATTCACCTACTGATGACTGTCATAACCGTTGCCACAGGGAGACCCTGGGAGAAATGGGAAGGATGGATTACCAGGAAATCCTGGTTTCAAGGTAAGTACAAATGCAAGTTCCCACCTGTTCAAAGTCTTCCATAGCATTTCTGTCTACATACACCCAGTTTATTCTGTGGAGTATTACAGGAAGTTAAAATAATGTGTGTTAAAGGGAAATACTGAAGTTTACAGCTGTCAGTGGGCAGACTTCATGGAATTCAATTAGTACATGAGCAGGGGCAAAGTTTTTGTTAAGAACGGATCAGTGATTGTGGATCAGTGATTGTTTATATTTCATCTCCTTTATCCTTTTTTGGTGTTTATCTAACTCTTTGAATCTCTTAATGAAATTTATATACAAGGATACACTGTAGAACATACCTGTTGTGTACAGTTAAGAAGGAAGTAATCTATTACTATTGCTTTGGAAGGGAGCTGGATGAAAGTTAGGGAAGAACACTTCTAGTAGTGGATTCATGTTTGTTACTGTATTCTCTTCACTGTCTAGTGCCCTTTTTATTTAATTTGGAACAGTTTTTATAATGGACTAAGTATCTGTCTGCTGTAAAATAGACTACAGGATCTGATATTTCTATAATGTATTGCAGTCCGTGAATTCACTGAACATTTTGTTGATCCAGTTATTTGCACTGTTGTTGTTTGTGAAAAGATGGACTTTAGCAGTATCAGTTTGAATTCATAGGAAAAAAATATTATTAATATACAATGCCAATATTCATTTCAACCTTTTAGCAGTGTCTTTGTTCCCATAATATTTTTCTCAGTAATAGTAATAAGAATGATCTAGGGCTGCTCAAGATTAGTGTTCCTTAAGTGTCCAAAAATACAAATGTATTTTAAGTGCATTTGTCTAAATCTCTATTACTGTAGTTAGAGATTGGGTCTTTATTCCATTTTGTGATCATGGTTGTCTAGAGCAGTTGGAAATATCATGGCATATCTCTGACATCTGCTGCAGCAGGGAAATATGTCACAAGACCTGTGAGAGACCTAAACCCTTCCAGGCAGCAGCTGCTAACAAGGTGGATCCAGCAGGATCCCAGGCTCACTTAGGCTGCAGGGGACTTTTGTTTGAGGTGTCTCCTGGAGCAGCCTCCTGCTCACAAATGGGGCAGCACTGAATCCATACCAGGTTGTTCAGCTGGGTCTTGATAACCTCCAAGGATTGTGCCTGCACAACTGGGCAGCATGTTCCGTCCCTGACTGTCCTTGTGGTGAGAATTTTTTAACCCTTATCTGTAGCAGGAAATGGCTCTATATGTCTGTATGTTGACAACTGAGTCAAGCTCTTAATAAATATAACAAATGAAGCCTTTAAAACCATTCAGCTGCTGACTGTTAACTGCTATAACTTTTGTGAGATCACCCATAAGTTTGCAGCCCTGTTCACTGGTTTTGGGTACCCCATGTGACCTGTAATTGCCATTTCAGAAGGGCTCAGGTCTCCTGTAGGTGGTACCTGTCAGCCTGATGTGGAAGCCTTGGCTGCCCTAGAGCACCTCAAATAGCACCAGACATTTGTCATTAGGTAACTGAATCAAGCCACTCCTCACTGTAATGGGATCCTAGATCCAAAATGTATCTCTAGACAACTTCAGGTAGAAAAACACGTGTCTAATAAGACACAAAATTGTCTTAATTTGAAGTTAAAGGGGGCAATTATCACTTACATAGAACATTGGTAGCAGCACTGTTATTCTAAAAATTGCTCAACTTCAGTGTGTAATTAAGCATCCTGCAATTAAAATAAATTGTTTAGGAGAACATATCTAAAATAACAGCCTTTAAAAAGTACATATAAAATTTAATTTTTACAGTGGGTAAACTCAGTATTTCCTATTTTATTTGTTCTCTTCAGAAGGCTTAATTAGACTGTGCTAAAAGGTAATGGAATAATTTTAGTTGATATAAAATTGGTGTACTGCTTTTTTTTAATTGCCCTTAATTATAGTAAAAAAAAAAGTTGTAATTCTTAATTATGGAAAGAAATATTTTCATATCAATCATTTTTTCTGGAGTTAACTTCAGCAACCAAGAGCGGAAGGATTTTGTATTTATTTGTTACTTGGTTTAGCTTTAGATACTCCTGCATTAATTTCATTTTGATGTTCAAACCTCGTTGACACGTGCCTACAAATGGTCATTATTAATGTATTTCTACAAGACCATGTATCTGTGACACTTGCAAACATGCCAGGCAAAGACATTTTAACAGACATTCTTAAAACACTCAGCTAAGTTTGTGTCTACGGATGTAGTAGCTACCTGTGTTACTATTAAAGTCAATAGAGCTAACCAGTAGTGCCAGTGGAGTCAGAAGAGTGATTCAGCTCAAAGGCAGACTTGTAGGCACAGTTTAGTTGCCTACAAAAAAGTGATGCATTTGAGGTACGTTTGTATCCAAAGCATCCAGAGGGAACTGACAAATATGACATAGTTCACAAAATATCTCTGTGAAGTTGGTGGGGAAATTATTTCTCTGGTAGTATAGAAAGTAGGAAAGAATAATTAGATGCTAGATTTTCCCTCTGGTATTTGAAAACATGGACAGGTAATAGTGGCAGTTGTTTAACGTAAGATTTTAACTGTCACTGGTGGCCCTTCAGAGTGGAGTATTACATTTTATCAGCATAAAGGGTGGATTTGGAGAGTATTTTGATCTGTCTGTGTGCTTGTAAACAAGCTACAGATAATCCAGTGTATTAGTTTTGTGAACCTGTGTACATTTAAACTCAAAGACATTTTCTTGACTGTTTTCTTAATTTAATAATTGTAGTAGAAGAATATGACATGCTCATTAGTTTTTATTCATTTTATAATATAATATTTAACAGAAGCCATAGCCTTCATTCAGACCTTTTGTCAGCATGATTTCAACATCTGCTTACTATAAAACATTGCTTCATTCTGGGTCCGTAATCAAATTCAGAGCAGTAACAAACAGACTGTCTTTAAAGGAAATTTCTGCCAGAGCTTTCCTGTTTTCTTACAATATTCATTCTGGGAAAGAATGTGGAAAAAAAGCATGACTTGAAACCCAGATGCTACCCACTGTTAGGTCAAGTCCATTTTTTTTTTTAATTTGAAGTTAGTTATTGTCAGATTATTTTATATACATATACATATATAAATTGATTTTTCCATTTGTTTTATGTGCTTTTAATTTCAGAATTCTTCTTCAGTTTTTCACATTATTTTTGGCATCATGCATATTTTGAATAAGGTCATAGAGATCTGATTGTATCTGGTACTGCTGTATTCTGGAGTGCTTTGAAATAGTTTTCAGAATAACTTAAACAATAGTAATTTATTACCGTTTTATGTACTTGTTCAACTAGTAATTGATGTTCTCATTCAGAAAACAATTGTCCCTCTCTCATCTCTTTTTCTCAAACTGTTTGACAGCTATCTGTTGGATGCAGCATGAAGGAATATTGAATTGACATCACTTACGTGTTTTTAAACTGTTTTTAAGAAGCTTTGACCATGTTTATTGGTTTTACATTTTACTTATATTAAAAATAATAACTTACTAAATTATATTTATTATGCAAATGAAGATTCTTTCTTTCCTTTCCTTTCCTTTCCCTTTCCTTTCCCTTTCCTTTCCTTTCCTTTCCTTTCCTTTCCTTTCCTTTCCTTTCCTTTCCTTTCCTTTCCTTTCCTTTCCTTTCCTTTCCTTTCCTTTCCTTTCCTTTCCTTTCCTTTCCTTTCCTTTCCTTTCCTTTCCTTTCCTTTCCTTTCCTTTCCTTTCCTTTCCTTTCCTTTCCTTTCCTTTCCTTTCCTTTCCTTTCCTTTCCTTTCCTTTCCTTTCCTTTCCTTTCCTTTCCTTTCCTTTCCTTTCCTTTCCTTTCCTTTCCTTTCCTTTCCTTTCCTTTCCTTTCCTTTCCTTTCCTTTCCTTTCCTTTCCTTTCCTTCTTTTTCTTTTCTTTTTCTTTTCTTTCTTATTTTCTTTCTTTTCTTTGTTTCTTATTGTATTTAACAGTCTTTTTGGCTTTAAAGGGGGAAGTCGGACAGCCTGGATCTCCAGGTCTAGAAGGACATCGGGGAGAGCCCGTAAGTGATTCAGTTGCTGACATATTCTTATGTACTGATTTGTTTGGATTTTCTTTTTATTTGATGGATGTTATGCTTCATGTTTTATCCATGCAGGTATGAATTGGTTGGTATGTCAATTTTTGTAAAAGTGCTTTTTTATTTTCTGGTGTTCATATTTGAATTTGTATTTAGTAAAAGAAATAAGGCATTTTTTACTTCTAAAGCTTGTTTAAAACAAAAGGTTCTTAACTATGTGGCCATTATCTACCAATTTGTGTATATGTTATAAAACTGTCTAGCTATTGACTTCTTTCCTTTTGATAGGATGGTATGGCTAGATATGGATAGTTACATGAGGAAAGATCCTGGTTTTTTTAACTCTCATTTCTGTAACATAGTATATATTCTTTCATATATTTGTTGATGGCACGAACTTAATTTTTTGACTGTCTACCTCCCCTCCTCTTAGACCAGTTTCCTTGGTCTTTTACTTCCTTGCATCTTATTACACTGTCCATGTTAATTTGTATCTCCGTTCTTCTTGCTTAGATGGGGAACATGCTGTTGCATTTTTATTTGTTTGATTCCAAAGACATTGTTCCTCTGCCTGCGTTTGGGCAGCTACTTGAGGCAGCTATTTTTTCCTCCTCTCTCTATGTGATAGCTAGGCTTTGCCCTCCTTGTTTCCTTGCTTAGCTCTTTAAGGCTGATAGACTTAGCTTGAAGCAGAGGAGCCAGGGTTTCTGTAGAAATGGCTGAAAGCTTTGAGTGCCGAGAGCAAGCCAGCTGTCTTCATCGGTAACTCTTCTGTAGGCTGAGAGCAGTAAATGAAGCTCAGTTGGTGGAACACTGCCTTCCAGACGAATTACATTCTGAGTTACATTTTGAATTGCAAAATAAGGAGATTCAGCTTTATGCATTCAGGTTTGTTTGTGGTATTGAATGTAATGAGAGGCAGTGTATGGTATATGGTACTTAAATCTGGTAGAGAGTTTTGATAACTGGGAAGTGGAAATAACACTCCAAGCTGAGAAATTCTTAAGCTCTTTAATTTATTTTTTTTGTATTTTCACCGAGACCTCATGAAACACTGTGAGTAGACTGCAAAACACTGGACAGTCATTCCCAGGAGACTTCCTTCCCACATGGCTGGCTTAAGTGAAGCACACACATTACTCCTCACTTGGCTCTATTTTTTCCTCTTTTTCTGCCCCAAATAACTGTGAGATTTATTAACCTTTTCCAATCTATAGTATCTTCATATATAAGAAAGACTGAAAGTGAATGTTAATTAAAAACTATAAAATACAAGTAAAGAGGTTTTGACATATTGATAATAAAAATGTGTTGAAATAATAACAAGACTTTTAGTTTTGCCTCAGTCTTGCTTTCTCTTTTCCTTTTTAGAAAAAAAATCTCACATAGGGAAAACTAAGTATTTAATACTTGAACAGCTCTCTTTCTGATCTAATATCTTTCACGGACACCTACTAAAAAAGTATATAAGTACTTCAAGTATATATAAAGAAATTAATAAAGAATTTACAAGATACCATTTTAAATAGCAGTATAAACTTATCACATAAGTCCCATACTTATGCCTTAAAGAGAAAAGATTTAAGACATTAAAAGCACTAAGTCTTCAGCATAAAATAATAGAGGGGAAGATTTCCAGTATATAAACAACTATAAAAGATTTACACAATCCTAACAGGGCAAGCCAGATTGCACAATATGCTTCACTTTTGTCAGTGGAGGTTCTTCTGAAGAGCAGAGAGTCTATGTGGTGGTGAGGAAATTGCCTCAAAGCAACCATTCAGAAATGCAGAACGCCTAGTCATATCTGCTCCTCTGTCTCTAACCAGACTACACGTGCAAACATGGTGCTTCCATCTATTTAGAACCTAGAAGAGGAGCAAAGAGCATTTCTATGCAGCAACTTGGTGGTAAAAGTATGCTTGGGCTGTGTAAAATGAAAGCTATCCTCAACCATTCGTGGGCTCCCCTATTCAATTAGAGAGTGGTTGGCTTTCGTCTAATGGAAAGTGGACTGGATTGTGGGGGTTGTGAGGGGTGTCTTGTGCAACTTACTGTTTCTGTTGTTCTTCCAATATGTATCTGACATATAACATATAAACACCTGCTTTTGGTTTCTCTTTTGTGCAATTCAGTGTGATTTTCTCTGGTGGGATACCCTAGTAGTTAGGGCACTGATGTGGGAGAGAGGGACTGAACTCTGCTGTGCCCTCCCTCTGATAGCCAGATAGGCTGCCTAACCCCCAGACAGGCCTTGGATGATACTGTTGAAAGTGTGTGACTCCATATCCTTAACCAGCCAGGTGCTCAGCATATTGCATGGATACTCCACCCACATAAATGGTCTTTATTTCTTCCATTCAGTCACATTACTATTAGACGTGGCCTAATTCATTAGGCTGATGTGGTGGGTTGACTCTGGCTGGATGCCCTCTATCACTCCCCTCCTCAGCTGGACAGGAAAGAGAAAAATATAACATAAGGCTCATGGGTTGAGATAAGGACAGGGAGAGATCACTCAGCAATGACCATCACAAGAAAAACAGACTCAATTTGGGAAAAAAATTAATTTATTACTGATCAGATCAGAGTAGGATAATGAGAAATAAAACCAAATCTTAAAGAACATCTTCTCCATCACTCCTCCCTTTTTCTCAGGCTTAACTTTACTTGCAATTTTCTCTACTTCCTCCCCTCAACTGGCACAAGGGGATAAGGAATGGGGATTGTGGTCAGTTCATCACACAGTTCACAACATATTGTTTCTTACACTCCTTCCTCTTTAGGAAGAAAACTCCTCATGCTCTTCCCCTGCTCCAGTGTAGGTTCCCTTCCACAGGAGACAGTTCTTCCTGAACTCTGCAATGTGAGTCCTTCCCATGAGCTGCAGTTGTACATGAACTGCTCTGGTGTGAGTCCCTTCCACGGGGTGCAGTTTTTCAGGAGCAGACTGCTCCAGCATGGGTCCTCTAGGGGGTCACAAGTCCTGCCAGCAAACCTGCTCCAATGTGGGCTCTTCTCTCCATGGGTGCGCAGGTCCTGCCAGGAGTCTACTCTAGTGTGGACTTCCCATGGGGTCACAGTCTCCTTCAGGTGTGGAGTCCTCTGTGGTGTCTGCAGCATTGTTTCACTTACTCTCACTCTTCTCTCCAGGTGCAATTCCTCTTGCACAATAACGTTTTTGCCCTTTCTTAAATATATTGTCCTAGAAATGCAGTTTCTTATGGGCTTGACCTTGAACAGTGGTAGCTCCATCTTGGAGCCAGTTGACATCGGCTCTGTCAGACATGGAGGCTTCTCACAGAAGCCACTCCTGTAGCCCTCGCCGCTACAAAAACCATGCCACACAGACCCAATGCAGTTGATATTTTTAAAAATAACTGTATTATGATCCCTTTTGCTTTAGCAAAAAAAATAAGCATGATTGCAAAATGAGTGCATCTTGAGACAACAACTAGGCAAGAGGCAACTGTCTAGGATGGAGAGCGCAGTTGAACTCCCATTGCCTTCAGCCTCTGAGAGGTGTGTTTATTTTCTGGACAACGTATTTCTCTTATTAATCAACATATTACTCTTATTAATCTCCAAATTTATGTACAGGGAAAAGTAGGTTGTAAATCTAAGTAAATAATTCCAAGTCACGTGGTTGTTTTCCCTGAGTAGTGTGATTTGGAACTTAAGTTATCCAGGCCATCAGAGTCATACTCCACTCTGTAAGAAAAGGTTTGATAGCATCGACATAATAATTTAAATAGCATTTAGTAAAGATAGTAATCACTTTTATTTTACTGATGACAAAAATAAGCCATGCTGTCAGTTGACTAGTTTTGTGGCTAATCAACTATCTTAATGATGACAGGCTTTTTTTGATAATTACGTGTTTTTTAGGGGGCAACAGTCTAAAAGAATAAGTTAAGATTTATTTGAGCTTAATTTCAGCTTGGAAGTCCTCTTTAACATAGGTAGAGTTCTGTCAGAGCTTGGTTTCAGTGGAAGCTGTGTGAGACCTTGTGTTGCATTTTGAGTCATGTAGATGAGAACTCTGAAGGGAGTGCTTGTGGGTGAAGCTGGCAGGACAGTTATAGCACTATTCTAAGCCTAGCATATGATGTCCTGCCACAAGTAATATGTCTGAACATTTGCAACTGCTTATGTTTACTCTTCAGAAATCATATTTTTCAGAAATACAGCTGCAAACACTTAAAATGGTGGAGTCTGCCCTTAATATTTAGGTCACATCACAGGACCTCAGATGTGGCCTCTTTTGTGCCAGCGGTAGCAGCGTAACATGCCTTTCAGCTTCTGACCTGACTCCCACTATTATACTTGTACTCCCAGTTTGTCTGTTGCTCTAAAAATTGAGTAATGCCAGGTCTAGATTAATGAATACTCTGAAAAATGTGTGTTTTATGCTGGGGTATGGTAACAGAATTCTTTTTGGAATGTGTTCAAGATTCACTAAGGATATAGAAATCTGCAACAGAAGTTGCTATATTTTTCTTCGTAAAACAGAAGACTTTAAAATACAACATAGAAACTTCTGTAGCTAGGTAGCCTGTGTGTTTGGAAAACGAACCTGAAGTTATTGGTATTCTACAGCATCTGTAGCTGTGCTGAAATTAATAGAAGGGGGAAGCAAGGAAAGAAAATTTCTAACTTAGCTATATGGTAAGCATGCAGAAAAAATATTTTCACAGAACCACAGAATGTCAGGGGTTGGAAGGGACCTCAAAAGATCATCTAGTCCAGCCCCACTGCCAGAGCAGGATCACCTACAGTAGGTCACACAGGAACGCGTCCAGGCCGGTTTTGTTGGTGTTTTTTCCTTCTGTGTGTGATGTAATATCCCCCCTTCTCCCTTACTGTAAAGTTTTCCAGGTCTCTTCCCTGCAAGCAAATTGACTTTAGTTGGAACCCTTAGAGTGCGACACCTTGAGGCAAGATGGGTTGTTATATAGTCTTGTATTCAGCGTTGCCTCTCT